CGCCGCGGGCGCGACCTTCTGCGGCAAGGAGGCGGCCACGCCACCCACGGCTCCTGCTGGGTCTCGCCTGTCGCCCTCCGTGTCTGTGTCATCAGACTCCACTGAAAACAGACTTCTGTGAGCATTGTTTCTTTCAGCCTCTCTGCTAGTGCTTTGGCTGGCAACATCGTCGCCATCCGCTGAGACCAACGCCAAGGATCCGGAATGACGTGACCTTGCAAAATTAAAAATTCGATTCCAAATGTTACTTGACCTGCCAGCAATAGGAAGTCTGATGGAGGTAAATCCAAGCTGAGATCGCACTGCCAGTCTCAGGTTTTCCAGAACTGAAGCCTAAATGAGAAAATGAGCAACAATCAAGTGTTGACAGTACGTTGGCACTGTTTTAACGGAACAATGACGACTGTTGTGCAAAACGCTATATAACCACAAAATCGCATGTAGAGTCTTTAATATTTAAAAAATGTTAAATCTTTACTAGTAAGGAACTAGTTTATGTAGCAACAGGTTATTTTAAAAACAAAGCAGGCATGAAAAAAGCCAATATTCTCCTGAGGGAAAACATAAACAGGGAAATTAAATGGAAATTAAACAGAAATATATATGGAAGAAAAAGTGGAATAAGAGCAGTGAAGTAGGTAAGCTACATTTCTGCTCAAATCAAGAGCCTCAAAATAAAGGCAAAGTGAAACCCAATGCATTATAGAGCAATGCATACCTGATTTTTTCTGCTTAAAACCTTGTATAACTTTTAAACTGTAAGATAACACAAACATATCAACACCTTTGACTTAATCAAGCTTAGAGAAAACAGTGTCTCAGCTAAGTAGTTAAATTCTCAAACAGTATGGCAGAAGATCTACAACTTGACCACAATTTTGAAAATATTCACTGATTTGTTTAATTACAGGGGAAAAAGTCCTTATTTGCATCTTTTAATGAAGATTTTGGCAAAAACACATGATATTATTCAGAAAAGCCTTTTTGTTCCCCCCAGTTAAACACTTAACATGTATGCATATATTTTACTTTCTTTACCAACACTGAACTTCAGTGTTCTCATGCCGTGAACTTACTTCAGCTCCCTTCCACAATCCTGCAGACACCACAGGGCACACACAGCACAGGATCCACACAACACTGAGCACAACCTACCTCCTCCCTTCCAATAGTTCATGGAATGTTATTTGAATTCAAGCATGCAAATATGTCCAGTAGCTTTACCTTCAAAAGCTACTGGAGAGATTGCTACCCACCCTTGAAAATGCAGCTCTGAAGGCATTTATCCGTTCTAGGTGGAAAGTGTGCCATACAAACCAGGACAAACTAGATGCCTCTAGCTTGAGCCTACTAACTTTTATCGAATCTTGACTAGGTATCTTCAAACCTACATAGATTTGTAATTCTCAAAAGAAAGAAAATTAAACACATTCTGACTTAATACTGTCTCTCTTCCCCCAGCACTTAAGCATATTAAAAATTTAATTTGAGCTTTATAATTTATAGAATACAATTTACATTGCCTCTTAAGCTTTTACTCTTACTGATGTTCTCTCCTCTGAAAACCATTTTTTTTTAAAAAATGCAACTTCATTTTACTCAAGAGTAAAATATTTTACCATGGAATCAGCAGTGCTCTAGAATGACTTTTTCATTATTTTTGAAGGTGATGGCCTGCTCCCTACTATTCCTTACTTTTAGGCTGGTTAATTTCTGAGTATAGTAAACTTAAGTTTTCAAGGCCACAAGTGTTATCAGAAATACTGGTCTTCAAAATGGGAATTTACTAGCACTCTTTCATTGTTCAGAAGTGTTGTACATGCATCAGTATTTTTACCGAGTGTGAAATCATGACTACACAGAAAGATTCTGAAGCAACTATGTTTTGTTATATGTCAATATGAAAGATTGCCACTTTTAGTAAATCTTTCCAATTCCACTGTACCATAGTTCTGAAAAATAATTTAAACTATATCCAAAGCAAGAGTGGCTAATTCAATTTAAATCAAATGGAAGAAAAAAAGAAAATTTCAGTAACTGTACAGCTTTTTATAAGTTCAAGTACCAATCTCCAAATGCAGTCACTACATGTCTGGGTTTTCCAGAATTGTCCTGCTTATCAGGATACTTAATTTTGGTAAAACCCAAGATCTTTACGCCACTTTTGTAGGGTTACATGACGAAAAATGTGTTTGAGGAAGCTAAACTTGTCTGAAAACAGTAATGTTTCCTAAATGTCTTCATGCATGCCAAACCTGAAGGGTCCTATACAGGGTAGAGATGTGCAGGAAACATGGTTTTGTTCCAAGTTACCTATACAAGAGGACTTATACATCTGGGCACAACAACTGCATGTCTTAACAGACTTTCTTGAGCTAACCTGACTACAAAAGGCTTGCAAGCACAGCTGCAGCACAAAATGGTGAAGCTTAATTTCAAAAAGAGGACAGGCAAGCCAAATTTTTAAAAGTACAGAATTGTTCTTAAACAAACATACTGATCTTTATTATAAGCATGATAAGTCATCCAATAAGAATTAGGGATTCTACAGTGGTCATTATAGGAATTCAATAATAAGTTAATTAATAATTTCATTATAATAAATTCATTAATAAGTTCATTAATGAGCTTTCGTGATAATTCAACTATTGAAAAATCTTCACAATATTTTCAAAGTCTCCTGAAAATTGCAACTTATTTTCCTCTTTTGCTTTGCAAAATCCTTTGTGACAGATCACAGCTGCTGCTTGTGACCAAGTAAGTAAAATTTATGGCAGAATAAGTGTAATGAAATCAGTTCGCCTCAAAATTAAAACACACAATTCCCCTTCTTATGGTCTTGTAACTATTTTTCTTACACACTTAGTAATATTAGCTAACAGTAAACTTTGCTGTATTAACTGCAACACATAATACAAGATAATGCCAACTCTAACACAGCACCACAGCACGATTCCTAGACTGAGACTTTTCTTCTGTTTCACAAAAGAGCATTATGCCTGAAAGCTACTTTTTTTTTTTTAAATGAAAAAGCTAGTTAATGAACAAATTTCTATCAAAACAAGAATTGTGCTAATGACCCATCTGAAAACCAAGATGACTAGACACTATTAACTCCCAGCTTTTACTTTGTTACTCACTTCCTGTTGATTTTATATATTACAGCCTTGCCTTTGCAATCCTCTTCTCCCTGCATAGCGGGCATGACCACACCTAAGCACACATGCCCAGTGGATAAGAAGTACCATTTTGCAGTAGAAGTCTCAACTGTTCTTTGCCAAATTTCAAAGCACTAGCTTGCAGTCTTAACTTACACAACAACATCGATACAGAACATACACCTAGATTGACTCATCTGTTACTTTTCATGCTAGATCGATTCTCTAGTGTGCATCACTGGCATTCATTAACAAGAAATAAAGCCTGCAAAGAAAACTGTGGTGCTATCGTATCATGATTTTGGCCCGCTGGTTAATCCTTAGTATAATAGCATTGGTCTGACACGAAGAAAAAGAAATGCTACAGAGGGAGAAAATGCAGATCTAAGTTGAAATACCTTTACTTCAGCCTTCTTAAAAATTTAAGTGGGGTGCCTGCTATTTTTGGAATCTTACCTGGTTTGGTGAACAAACAGGAAAATCTTCAACTGGTGGAATTAAACCCTGGGCAATTAACTGTCCATAGGATGGAGGAGCTTCTCTTCTTAACAGCTCAGCCTCAACCCTTGACAAATGAGTTTCAAATGATCTTTCAAAGAGAAAAGAAATATACAGATAAACATCATAGTCTTATGTATAATTAAAACTACATCAGACTATTATAATCTGAAAGAACAGATTTCAGGAGGTGAAGTTTTATTAATTTAATTGAAATGTAATCGACAAAGAATATACACAAAGTCCTTGCAGTCACTCCTATGAGTCTGTCCAGCTGAGACAAGGACAATAAAATCAACCCAACAATTCCTTAAAAAAACCCAAAGAAGCAAACAAAACAAAACAAATCAACCAACCAACCAAACAAAAGAAAGCCACCACACCACAGAATGGGCCAAGTATAAAATGCACTATATGAAATTCTTATTTTATAAAAATGTAAGAATGTGTAATCCTGGTATGAAATAGTCTACAACAGAATAAACATGCTGTTAAATATAGAACTGAGATATTTAATTGGTAACAACATCTGAAAGCTTAACAAGGAGAGGAAGAAGTAGTTTCAGGTATAACACTAAGTTCTTCTCTACTTACCTTCTCTCAAACATCCTGAGTGAGTACAATTTACAAGTACATCCCAGTGCAATGACAAGCAGCAGTCCGCAGATAAGACTCCCAATGACAGCTGCAGTTATTACTCTAGTGGGCACTATGACTGGGCAATTCTCTTCATCGCTGCCATCACCACAGTCATCCTGAGAATCACAAACCCAGCTCTCAAACACACAGCGGTTATTTTTACAATGAAAATTTCCTGGCTGACAGAAGAAACAATTCTTTTCATCAGAACCATTAGGGCAATGATTCTGGTAGTTGCAGCGATCTGAACGAGGATAGCAGACACCATTCCGAGAGCAAGGAAACTCATCTCTTTGGCACATGGTGCAGTTGGTTTCATCTCTGCCATTTGGACAGTGCCAGTAGCCATCACAGCGTTGCTGCTCTGTGTAGCAACCCCAATTTCCACCACATGGGATTTCCCAGGGCAAACAGAAGCCATCTACTTGATAGGTAGCATTGAATCCTCTTGCAGCATTCACTTTGTCAGCACAAAAATGCACCCTTATCTGTCCTGAGGATGAAACAACTGTGAGGGGAGCATGAGAGTCAAATGCTGTTAGCACACGCAACAGCCTCCGTGGATTCTCCTCTAGTCCATCATATATCTTGACATAGTCTCCAAAACCTGTACCATCAAGTTTAAAATCAGTGAATCGCAAAATTACTTTGCGATGGTCACCAGTATCTATCAGCCAGGTGCAGTTGCTTCCAGGTGGATAGAAGTCAGGATAGTTGGGAGAACTGAAAGTACCATAAAAGTAATTTAACCTCTGCCCACAGGTTGGCACATCACAGTCTATTTCGTCTACTAGGTCAAGACAATCAATGTTACCATCACATTTTAAAGACTCTGGAAGGCAAGTGTAAAGCTTGGTGAGGCGAGAAAGACACCGGAAGTGATCGTAACCACAAGGCTGAAAGGAAGCAGCTGTCGGAGCAGTAGCCTTGGCACAGATTTCTTCATCTGAATTGTCTCCACATTCATTCATATTATTACATTTCCAACTTTCTGGAATGCACTTCCCATTAGCGCAGTGAAACTGGTCACAATCACAATTTGGTTCATCAGATTTCCCTGAAAGAAGAAAAAAAGAAATTTCAAATATATTACCTCTTTTAACCATTTAGCACTTCATGGTGTCACGTATTTGCTGTACCAGGTAGTTCAGAATGGCAAAGCAACTATTTGAACTCTCTGTAAATATCACAACTTCCAGTAAGTTTCCAGACCAAGCAGTTTTTTGCATCCTTAGCTGCTTTCAGTCAAGTAACTTTAAACCAAACAAGAAAACAATGCTCATTTATAGCCATTTAAAAATCTGACTTCTAAGGTGGTAGAAGTAAGTTAGAAAACCAATGTTTCTCTCTTCTATTACTTGAAATACAGAATCATTTGGTCCTGCAGTACTGGTTACCAGCTCAAATTCTTTCTTGTAAAAGCAGTAAGACCTCTCTTGTTTTCATAGGTTCCTACTTTGTACCAAAGGACATATGGCAAGAGAGAAGCCGAGAGTTGAAGATTACTTATTACCACCAAAGAGAAACCTCTGTCCACACCTCTTCCCACTGCTCCCGCCTCTTCTACAGCAACTACTGGAAGAGTGCAGTAAATACATATTTGCCTGAAGACACAATGATACTTCAAAAGTTAAGGATCCAAGTAGTGGTCCAGCAAACACAGAAGTGTGTGGTTTTTATTCGCTGGTGTTTTTGGTTGTTTGGTCTGGGTTTTTTTAGTTCTGACAAAAAGGAGACCATTTCATTTAAGAAAATGTGGTCTACTGTGTACACTTTTAACATCAACACTATTTTCTTCAGGGCTTCATTTATTAAAGTTCCAACCATGTTAAACATGGAAACATAGCTGAGAAGTGAGCTATTTCAGCTCTGCGACAGCTTATCCAAATCTAATACCACTGTATCATTTGGTATCACTGCAATTTCTAAAAACCATGGCAGAAGCTGTAAAATTTGCTACAAAACAAACTGTTGTGCTTAATCCTCAAAAAAAAAAAAAAATCTGCAGCACTGTCCTGATTTTGGCCGGCATCCCTCATGCTACCAAACAGGACTGAGTGAAAAACTGTGTGGTGCTTACTTGCCAGCTGGGGTTAAACCATGACAAATGCAGATGGCCCTACACAGCATTAATTCGGGAAATAAATTAGCCAAATATATACTAAACCTACATAACACTATACTTCAGGTTTAAAAAACAGGAGACAGCATGATAAATTTACTGAAACAGACTTTCCCAGGAAAATCAGCCTCTATCTTGTTCCACAACAAAACAATTCACATTGGAAGGGATCTCTGAAGTTACCTAATCTGCTCAAAGGAAAGCTAACTATAGTGTGATTGGGTGTTCAGGGCCTTCCCCAATCAAGTATCTTCAAAGTTCCAGTGCACACAAAGTGATAAAAGTCCTCATCTAGTCTGAATTTTCCTTGCTGCAACTAATCTGCTGTGAAAGGTCAGGTCATATCATGTCCCTGTTCTCCTTTTTGCTATTTTAATATCCTTTTAAGATAAAGAAATGCTCAATTGAAAAAAAAAAAGCAACAACATCAGCATTTGACATACTTCACAAACGCTAAGGCTTTTTAAAAAATGAATGCAGGAAAAACATGAAACCAACAAGAGTGATAAACTTAAGTACTGCTAAAGAGTGCATACATCAAATTCAGACAGAAAAGAAAAGGAGAACAAAAAGAAAAGTGCTGCTAGTGATTAAGTTTCAGAAAATGTTATTTAAAAAAACCCACAAAAACAAAACCAAGAACACATCTAGTATAAAGGATAGGATCTTCTTTTTCTGTTATATATATCATATGTATTTTTTATATATACGCACACATCATTTGTAGTATTCGTATGGCAAATAGTATGGATTTTGGCCTTGAATTTGAAATTTGTCCTGCCTAATTTAGATGACCGTGGCCATAGGTGGAGGGGCAATATAACAGAATATACTTAAGAGTACTGATTTTACCCTAGCTCAATGCTTCTACCTTGCAGAGCCTGGAAAAAGACTGAGTGGAAAGATACAGCAAGGAGTTACATATATTAATGGCAATATCTTAGTAACAAAACAAGATGCAACTTCAACATAACCTGTTCCCTCTGCAGGGTTTTAAATACCCCTGAAAAGAGCCACCTAATGGATCCCATTTTATTATTTTTAATCGCTGATTCCAAAGTCACTACAACTGGAAAGTTTACATATGAACCATAAATTACAGTGGTAAAATAATAACAGATATACAAAATAAGACTGTTATTGGAACCTGTACCTCAAATGACTTCAGGGTAGTTTGAGATAATTACCAGAACCCAGATGCAGTTCTAGCCAAAGAACTAACAAGTTCCTTCCAAGTATTTAGAGTGAACATAAACCTCTTCAATTCTGTTAATTCTGTTTTCCACTCTGCGTCACTATTATTAAACTCCACCCTATTCTGATACACATAATTAAAGAGGTTGATAAATTAAAGGGTGTGGGATGAAAACAGAGGAAAGAAAGACAAGTAAAGTGACACAAAATTTACTTTCTAGTAAAGTACTGTTCCAAACTGGAATGTTTTTTTGTCATTTTATTTCTTGAAAATTAAATGTGAGTATTTACCTGGAAGATATTATTTACTTTAAACAAGAAGTAACTCAATTCACATGGCCTATCATCCACATCAGATTTTAAACACAGGGCTCCCTAATGGTCTCTTTTAGGCCTGTAATCTCTATTGTTTCCATCATTCCAGCACAAGAAGGCCTAACTTGCATCCATGTAACTCAAGCATTACTATTTTTTCCTTTTTACAAGGTCACATGTCAACTTTAAGAGCAGCCTTAACAACACTGGACTAAATAGTTTAATGAGGTGTTAAGATTCATTACAAAAAACCAAGATCAAACGTAAAAGGAATCCCACCATTTCTTCCTTCTCTTCTCCCATTTATACTGTTCACAAGTCTACCCAATTACTTCAACAACTAATTTTATTCTGATGAAAAAAATTCAAAAGCAATGTTAAAAACTTCCCAAATTACCTAGTATTAACACTGAACTTCTCCCCTTCCCAACCTCCATCATTCACTCTGCCTACTACAGTGAACACCAATTCTCACTTTGAATAGTCAAACTGTGCATGGGATTAAAATAATTTACACAATGTATACTTTCAGTAAGCCTTGCATCGACTACAGGAATTGCATATACCGTACTCTGCTCCAAAGAAGTAGTTCCTGAAACAGAAAACAAAAAATGCAACCATAAAACGGAACTAGGTATCATTTGAAACATACCAGCAAAGTAGGCTAATCTGAAGCCTTTTCTGGAGATGCTATCATCTGAGTGAAATCTGATCCAAACATGATCCTGCGTAGAGATGTACGGTGAAGGAATGGAGGAGCCACACGCTCTGTAGCCTTCAATATTCTTGTAGCTTCCAATTGTTAACCAATCTGAGCTGCATCGTCGGGATCCCTCAACGTCAAAATCTTGAAAACTGGGGGGAGGGGGAAGAGGGGAATAGTAAGTGAAAATTGCTGCTGAACTTGATAATTCATCACAAAGCTGATGAATTGATACACGTAAAAATGGAAAATAGCTGTATCTCTTTTCTGCTCTGAAATAAAAAGCACAGCTTCTCTACCCATGTAAGAATAGGCGTTAACCTCGTGGTGATGATACTTTTATGTTATGAAGACACTAAGAATACATTCTGTTAACAAAAATATTGCATCCACTGCTTGCGCTCAGCTTTACTATAAAAAACACGTTAAGCCTTCATCCAAAATTTTTTTTTTAAAAAAATTCTGTTTATACAACTGTCTTTATCATTCTCATTTAATGATGTTCATATACTAACAAGTGGTTTTAGTTAATCTAAACATGATGAGAACTTTAGCTAATGCTAAACTTAGACATTGAGGTGACTTCACATTATTAACTCAGCTAAGTTGCTCAAAACTACAATTAAAGGGAAGATTTGTACCCAGACACACACTAGGTAACCAAGTAGTGCATGTGGTGGAATGTCATGGTATGGCTACAGCTATAGCAAGCCATGCTGTCATGGTAATGAATCGTGAAGAGGAGACAGTCGGGGCAAAACAGGTCATTACAGACAACAAAGCAGTAAACCAGAAATAAAATGTGAAGAATACGTTACGTAGATGAGTCAAAGAAAACTATGTGAAATGAAAAAAAATTATTTTATGAAAAGTTAACTACATGAAAAAAATTTAGAAAGCATTCTTAGTAGATGAACAGCTCTACTTACTTTACATTGCATTTATGTCAGTTTAAAATTTAGTAGAAAGATTGTTCAAATTCAAAAATAGTACTTTAAAAAGAATAACTGATGTCAAAGCAAATACTTCAAAATGAAGAGCTGCTTCTTAGGTCAGCAGGTCTGTACCGGAAAACTGAAGTAAATCTGCAGTTACTGCAGTTTCATGGTCAGCCTGTGAAGCAGTACTGACTTGTATCCTGGTGCTAAAACAAGCCAAGGTTTCCCTTGTGGCAGTAATGGGGAACGAACTGATGAGAACTTGAACCTATAATACATTTTTTACATTACTTCTTCAGAAAAGTTACAAGGTATTACGAAACTGTGAGGAACTCCCTGCACCAAGAGTCAGCATTTCCAAAACTGACAATCATATCTATTCATTGACCATTGATACTTTGTCACTTTTAAGGATGCCATGTGACTTTATAGCAATTCCACGTTACAAAATTTCCCTTACATGGCTTTTTAATGCAAAATTATTATATTTCAGAGACGTTATAAAGAAATCATATAAATGAGCACAAAGAAGCTCTTCTAGTTGCTAGCTCTTCAGTTACAAACAAACGCTACGTGACTGTGTAGGAGCAACTGAGATAAAAGGAAAGGTAGAAGACAAGCAAGACAGAATTCCTACATTTATAGGAAGGAAGAGAAAATTGGTACATACACAACTGACAGTTAAAAATGTCCAGACAGCATTTCTTCAATTCATCTGGTTAACACAGGAGCACTGTTACCTTATAGTAATGATCTCCCCTGGCTTTGCATGGATGTACCAACTACAGTTGACTCGAGCAGGATACTCAGAGGGCCACCCTGGACTTGTGATTGTCCCACTTGGTGATCGAATTTGTTCTGGAATATCCCCACAAGCTAAAACAAAATTAAATATATATTGAAAGCAACTTGATTCATGCCATATTTTTAAAAGCCAGTAGGACAAAAATCAATCAACACTTATCAGGGAAAATATCACACTAAGTTAGATGAGGTAGCAATAAAAAACAATGTCTAAAGGAGCTCATAAAGGATACAGGTCACAACATGTCAGCCAAAAGATGTTTTTAAATGTTGCCAGGGTAGAAGTTTATACTAATATCAACTATTACCCCAGATTTAAAAAGTTACTCTATACAGACTTTGACAACTTTACTAGTAATGTGGAAGATGTTGTATTTCCTAATTTTAATTTTAGTCTTCACAAAGAGAGTTCAACTTCACTATGCATTTACACCTTGAATTGACAAATGCATTAGAAAGTGAAAAATAAATTAAAGAAAAATCATCACATTGTTGAAATTTCCAGTGTTAAGAAGATCCAGTGCATGGCCATGATTAAAATACCCCCTTCTAACCCTTGGCATGGAAATGATCTTCATCCACATAATTCACAGGCAAAAAGCAAGTATGGCAGCACTTCATCCATAGATATTAAAAGTTCAGTTTACAAGAGATTATTCTTTAGAGGGATGTGCATAAATACATTTCTGATAATGGACTAGAAAGCTTGTATTTATAGGACTAATTCTATGCAAAGTAACTCAGCCATTTGTATTCTTTATTGTAGGTGTATCTTCTGTACTGGCCTTAACTAAATTGCTTGTTCCTTTCACTGGAGTGTTCTCTACTGTGCTGATTATATTTCCAGTAATGTACTTATTACTTTTGTGGTTTTGTTTCACTGTCAGGTCTTTTTTTCCCCTTGGTAACCTTATATCCAACACCTGTCATATAGCATATTCACAACCTTCACATGCATAGGAAGGTCAGAATACTCTTGTTAGAGTCTGAATTTATGAGGAGCCTTCAGAGGCCAAAAAACACAGGAATAATTGCTCTCTGTGCTATAATTTTACGATTTCCTCACTGCTAGTCCAAAACTTGTGGGCTCTTGAAGTTTACTGGTAGTAGAAACAGTTACAGTTACAGACAGTAACAGAACAACTATTTAAAATGAGGAAGCATTTTCATAATTGTTTGATGATTAAAAGTTTTTAGAATTTTTTAAAATTTGAATAAGTGTTTGATTAAAATAACATCAGAACTGATGTAGTGAACAAGCACGATGAAAAGTGAATTGTATTTGTAATACTGCAAGAATTTTAATAATGTAATTTGTAAACAAGTTATTAATTTTTTTCTATTTTTATCCAGAATCAAGCTTTTAAGATAATTTTTCAAGACTACATGGTCTAGAAACTACTGACTAGCTCTAATACAGTAAAAATTTATATTCTTAAATTATTATTGAAGTATTTCTCTATGGTGTAACAAATACATTTATAAAAAAAGGTTTAAAAGTATTAAAAGACCAAAACGCTGGAATATGCCTGCATGTTCTGCATTACCTTAAATATAGAAATCTAGAAACAAAGATAAAACTTAGTAAATTTACTGTTTTCATGTACAGCTGTAAGAAAACATTGCTGTAAATAGTTTTTCACATTTTTCTTATTCATTCGTGCTGCACAGTTAGGTATTAACAGACTTTGACTACAGAACATAGAATTTGTCCTAATATGTACAGAGGAAAAAGTCTCAAAATACTGAAAGATATTACTTTATTTGAATATTTAATCAACTATTTCCTGGAAAGTTTCTTGTTTGAATTTTGAGCAAACCCTGTAGGTGGTGCTCTAACACCATGATATTTTGGAAAACTACTGCTGTGCGAATTATGGGGATATACTTTACATCTGTTTGATGTGAAATGGAAGGACTGGAAAGACAAACTGATTATTTGCAATTAGATGTTGAAGTAAAATAGTGTTTTTAATATAGATGAACAAAACAGATGCACAAAAGTAGAAGCATGTGTCAAACAAATGTGCCAGGCTTACAGATGTGTGGTTACTCCTGAAACAGTGGTCAGCTTAAAATGAGTTGCCTTCAGGTAAAATTTATAGTATTAGAACATTCATCTGGTTTTAGATATTTACAGTGACTTTGACACTGAGAACTTCTGAGGAAGCTTTAAAATTCACCTGTCAAAGAAAAACCTTACACCAGAAGATAAAAACAATCCATTCAACATAAGTTTATTCAATTTTACAAAGTTCACTTCAAAAACTTAAACATACTATATGTAATGTACAGCATGTGTGTGTTGAATTGGAACCTCCAAACACTGCTAGCAACTGTAAATTACAGTGTAATTAGCTCTGCAACTTCCTATGCTGGCACAGAGCACCCTGACATCCATAATTTACTCAACCCAAACCATGCAGCAGTACAAGCAGGAACTTTAACTTGTTACACAATTCTTTTTAGACTTCGTTTGCAATACCCACCATATCCCTATATTTTCTATATTCTTTTACTTCAGATGGCTTTTTTCACTTACACTAAAGCTAATACTAAAGAACTGATGGCAAAGTACAATCATTTCCAGCACCATCCAAGATAGGAAGAGAGAAGTGGGCTAAGGAGGGCATGAGGAAACAAGAATGATCACAGGCACCAAGGTAAAGAGCAGAGTGATCAGTACTGTACTGCTGCTGGAGAAGAGAGAAAAATCAAACTGAAGAAAGCATGTATATGACAAAGCCAAGGTTCAAAAAATAAAAGGGAATGGACTTGAAAAAGGATTTACAGCTTCCTTAACTTCATGTTAGCTAGCCAAACTGAGTGTACTTGTATACTTGGTACATATTCATATACTGACTGAAAGCTCTTAACTCAGGAGACAACAGAAATCTCCAATTTTCTGATCAAGTCAAGGTCAAGATCAACAGTGTAGAAGCTGCATTTCAGAAGTGCTGTCATTTTTAGAGGGAGTAATTTTCCAGAAATATTTTTAAAATCAAGGATAACCTTTTGAAACAGAACAGATTAAAAGGGAGTCTGCTTTCTAAAGGTAATAGCAAGACTTTTAAAATCAATTTTTGTGTTTGCAAACATGGAGAACATAAGCAATGTCAAGAAGGGTATGGGAATCAAAAAAACAATTCAGCTGACAGTGGGTAAAACAGAAATGTAGACAGATGAAAACATCTTCACACTAAGTCGTGGGGAACTTTCACTTCTCATTTCACTTGCAAGTGGCCCCAGAGGCATTTGTCATACAGGTTAGTTATGCCTATAGAACTTAAAAATACAGGAAAACTGACTAGGTTTGGAATGATTTATTAGAATTATTACAATACCTAAGGAAACAGCAAAATGCAAATTAGAGGAGTTAGGGAAAAAAAACAAAGAGATGAGATTGCAATGGAGACAGAAGCAAAGGACAAACTGAGAAGGTTGCGTCACAGAGAAGCAAAGATACAAAGTGATACATGCCCAAAATGTTTTCAAATCTCATCCTGGTGACTGTAAGATTTTTTAGGTGGGAACAACCCCCTCCTGCACAACCATTTCTACATGGGTGCTGTCTCTGCCTACATTCCTCTGAGTTCCCCTATACTCTTTGGTACAATTCTGCTCATCCACCTCCTACCCGTTTTAAATCCTTTCCTCTGCAAGCCTTTATTTTATTAACAACATATTTGCAACTCTGTTACTTTGCTGCAACTGTTCAGTAGATTGCAATATTGTAATTAGGACTGAAGATGTTTCACTGACTAAAGTGCAAAATAAAAGTCAAAACCCCTGCTTAGAGGATAAGCAGTGCACATGGTTTTCTTATGTATATGGGTTTTCTTCTAGACATTTTAAACACATACAACAATTTTCCTTATTCCTTACTTCCTGAAATCTGTTCACCACCCCATATTACAGACCATAAACTCCCTACGGGATGTTGACTGGTAAACAAGGGAGGCAATGAAAACATTGCAGTACCAAATTCAACTTGCGAGTTATAACAAGAAAATAATTAAGAATCCTATGCAAAAATTCTGTAGCAAGGATCTAGATAAGTAAAGTACCTGTAGTAACAGTGAACAACATGTCAAGGAAAAAAGTCACTTAAGAAAAGAAGGGAGAGGGAGATTAGGGGTTTATCTTCACAGTAATGCCAGGAGATTAGTTGAAAAGATAAAAGAATTAGCTTTCAATGTGAACCACAAGATGATAAGGTATGCATTATATTGGACATGGTAAGGACATGAATGCAGCAGGATAAATGATCTGAAGGTGTTTAAAACAGCTTAGACTAAAAAGAGTATAATGTTGTGATAAAGTCTAAACCATGAATAGGGAGGATAATTATTGTATTTGTAACTCTCAGGAGCCACTGAAAGACTTATTTGGAGAACTACAGGGGAAGAAGGCATAGGAATCTCTGCCTCCAGGTCAAGCTGAAAAGCTTTAATTTAAAATGCCCTTTGCTCTGCAATACAGAGACACACTGAATAAGAAGGATTTTTTTTTTTTTTTTCCCCTTAAATTCTCATGAACAAGTGTTCTCACCAGTGTAGAAGTTCTTTAAAATGGGGCAGGGGGTGGGGGCAGAGGGGTGAGTGGTGGGGGTGTGGAATTAGTTTTGCAGTTGTAACAATTATGGTGCAACATATCCCACAGACAGACCTGACAATATTTCTCAGTTTTTCAGATTTCAAAGTCATAAACATTTGTTCTTCAGTGATAGCTTATCCACAAGAGACAACATTCCATTATTGCTGTTGGTAGAAAAAGCGTGCTCATATATTAGAGGTGTACCTGTAACTTGGCAGATATAATATACAGCAGAAGCATAAAATACCAAAGACCACAGAGGTCTGTGCTATTAAAATATAATTTAGTAAGGTAGGTCATGTAGCCTTACAGTGGCAGCATGACAAGAAATCTACCATCAAGACAATCATTTCATTTTAAATCCCTTCTCAGTAGCAACTGTCCAAGAAAATTGCTTGCTTGGTTTCAACACCAAGTTAAACTTGGATTTAGCAAGATTAAAGGCCAGATGTCTTTGGTTCTATTTTACAGAAGCTCTGCTTGAAATTATTCTGATAAATATAAAGCTGCCCAGGTATGCCTGATGAAATATGTAATCTGCAAGTTCCAAAACATGTTTTGAAACAATATGGGTCTCCAAAGGAACAAAAAGAATCACTTAAATCCATCTCCATTTTTTTATACTTGGGCTACTTGGATGTAGTATGTAAGGTCTACATACAAAGAACTGTATGGAAAATATCACTGGACCTGTCTACATGCTTTCCTCAGGTTCTCCTTATCAGACCACATCCATCCCCATTACCTCAAAATTCTCCAGTGAAGAGTTTTCACTTTATATTAAGATAGAAACTTTAGGAGTATGACATTTATTTTTCCCCAGCTAGAAAGCTATTTTAGAACACAGGACCACCAGAACTACTTTTATTTTTCTTTTTATTTTTAAATGGAAGTCCTCACTGCATCTCTCTTCTCAGTAAAGGTCTGTCTACCAGCTGCTGTTATCTTGAATAGAAGGTACATTGTGTTCTCCTCTTCCTGGCACTGCCTGTTCAAGCATGCTGGCCAAAGTACTGAAAGCAGAGTCAAAAATTCCATTCACCCCTTGCCCAGCAGATGCTTTTCTGTCTGCATTGCAACTTGTGACAGGACATGCAGTAAACAAAGGGGTGAAGGGTTGCTAAAACATATGCTGACAGTTGCATAGCTAGATTTTTAGGCTGTGTATCTTGTACAAATTAACTCCAGCAATAAGTGTTCCAACAGAAGCAAGTTACTTGTGCTGTTATTTATTATTTATAGTGTGCCAAAAATATACTATGTATGTGTAATGGATAGCATGGAACCTGAGCATGACATAAATGGTATGAAATAAGGGATGAAGAAGGTGCTGGTTGTGGCTGGGATACAGTTAATTTTCTTCATAGTAGCTAGTATGGAGCTATGTTTTGGATTTGTGCTGGAAACAGTGTTGATAACACGGGTATGTTTGGAGCACTGCCTACAGAATCAGGGCCTTTTCCGCTCCTCACACCACCTTGCCAGCAAGTTGGCTGGGAAGGGGACACAGCAGCATGTTAAGCTGGGGGAAAAAGAAGAAAGGGGGACATTTATCATGATGGTGTTTGTCTTCATAAGTAACCGTTACCAGTGATGGAGCCTTGCTTTCCTGAAGATGGCTGTCTATAGGCTGACCTATTAAACTGTCAACCCACAAGTTTGGTCACTCTCAGTCTCCTGATTCTCTCCCCAGTCCCACTCGGGGTGGGGGGGAGGCCGGATATCAAGCAAGGGGCAGTGTAGTCCTTAGTTGCCAACAGGTCTTAAACCATGACAATATGGTAACTTGGTGTATTACTGTTGAAAAGCAACAATATTCTTCATGGTGTCACGCAAGAATGGATAGCACAGATCTTCTATCATTAGATTTTTTACAGTCTTTAAGTGGCAAACAATGAAAGGGAAAAAGAAGGTAGTATGATGTAACAGAGACCATCCACTGACCATGTAGTTATCCAAAAACTTAACCATGTGCACATAGAACAATCTAATGTTTCTAGCAATACTATGACAATAACTACATGGAGATGTCCATGCTGCTGTCAAAAAGGATGATTTTGCGTATTTTAGGAGAAGGGTGTGAAAATCAGTAGGATTTCCAGAGGTTAGTGGTGGCTTCCCTATTGAAACAATCAGGCTTCTATTCTGCACACTGAAAAAGAGTGTTTATCTCCCCATCAGCACGTATTCTGAGTATCACAAAAGGTAACCAGCAGCTCAGCTGACACTGCCCAACATCTGAAGAACAAAGACTATACACTGGTATCACCTAAGGCCTTAATGGACATACAGTCACCTCCCTAACACAGAATAGTCCCAAACATGGCTGCTGAAAAGGCCCAAGACCAACTTGCTGGAAAAGTAAGTAGCAGCCTTTGAGCGACGCGTGCCACCCATATTCTCCCAGCATCTCATCAGTTTCTCAGTTTCCTGAGTTCTAAAATTCTTTTTTTTCTTTTATTAAGGAACTGTGCAGCCAAGTGTACCATAGTTTCAGTTACTGCTTCAATCTAAGCAGGTGAAATGCATAACTCCTGGATTTATATTATTTGATAGTACCAGTGTCCAAAATTACATTTCAATAAATTTCATTTCCCAAAAACTTTACTGTGGAAAGAAAATATCAATTCAACTTAAGCCAACTTTTCTCTTAGTTCAATGTTTGTATGGAAAAATAATTAAGCAGTCCACTTAGAAAGGCATAATCTGTTCATGAGCATGCAGGTATCAATTTTATCTTATGAGAATTTTTCCATGTTCCAGTTGCTTCATTCCTTATTACATGCTGCAAAAGGCAGTAATAATTTTTATAGCCAAATATCTCTTCATAAGATACCAGGTGGCTTTCAATATTTACTATTTAAGTCATGCATGAAATTTAAACATTACAAAAAATGACTTACCCGTTGACACTCCTGAAATATGCACATTTTCAGAACGTTCTGCAAGAGCACCATTTCCTAAAATTAAACATAATGAATAAGCTAATTCCTGAGATAAAATTTGTAAAAATTCTTCAGATACCCTTTCACAGAACAGAAAGAACAAAACTGTTAATTAATGTTAAACATTAAAGGTCCTACATTCATTTTATGATTAAAGTTAGAGAAAAATTAGAGAAAAAGTTACTATACAATGAAAATAAAACCAAGAGTCATTAGTGTACTAATTAAGGAACTAAGTTGAGGAACGAGAGACTGACAGTAGCAAAAAGTATGAGAAACCAGTTTTAGATGGTAGACTTCCCATGATTTTGCATCAAATGTTATTTTCTTTTCAAGAAAGGCTTATTTCAATACATCTTCCTCATCTCCTCCTGAATCAAGATTTGTAAGCAAATGCTGTGCAAATAAAGGCACCCAGGGGAAGACATCCATCTCTTTCATAATGAATTGCAGCCTAAGATGTTTCAGATATGTCCATGAACCAGCTACCTTCAAGAGTAACTCCCCATAAATGTTTATTAAACCTACATGCAAAGATGAACAAGACCCATGTGGTCATCAAGAATTAAAGACAAAAAATTATTCCTCCAATCTCATACTAGTCCTCTCATCTAAAAGTCATCTGCTAGGGTGAGTAACTTTGCTGACAGGAGGGAGCAGCCCTGTCACATGATGTGACACAGCAAGTTGTATTTGTGCACATTTCTCCACCACTGAACAGCTTTCATTCTCCTCTCCTTTATTCTGTATCTTTTCTTTTAACTTTTACAAGAAATTTTTAATAAAATCTTCCAGGCATTTCAGGACAAGAGAGCTACCTCCATAAATATGCTCCTTTGAACACAGGTAGTAAATCTAAAATGTAAAATACATCACTAAGCAAACTGTAAAACCACAACTCTTCATCATTCAAAGTTCTGTAATATTGAAGATTTGCCACGTCACACAGATTTTCATCTGTTTGAAAATCAGTTGTTCTACCAGCACTGCAATATAAGTGTGATATGTTCAAGTAAACAGAACCTTAAATACATGAAGAAAACTCAAATTCCTTTTAGACAAAGCTTAAAGACTTAACCTAGAGCATATGCACCTAAGCAACTATCTCAATGCTCCTCCACTGAAGTGGTTACCAACAGAACGTTTCACAAATTGCTCCTAGAATTGACACCAAATGCAAAAAAACCCATGATTTTTTAATTTTACTAAAGACACAACACAGAAACGTGATGATCAGAATTTGTAGGAAAATAGCAGGTGTAATTTTTCCTTTTTTTTTTTTTTTTCCTCTTTTTTTTTAAAAAAAATAAAACCAAACAAACTCTTGGACTCTTAAGAATGGCATGTTTCCCCTCCCATTTTTCATGTACTAATTTCACAACCTATATTTAAATACCAAGTTGCTTTATATCTCTATTAAAAAAAAAAAATTCGATACTCTGACATTTCCACTCAACATTGAAAACACAGAAATAATTTAAAACAAAACTCATTTCAAATATTATATTAATGAGTAACTATTTTTCAATTAAACTATTTTTAAAAGTAAAAATGCCTGTAAGTTTTAAAAAGCTATTCTCCAAAATAATTTCTCCATTTTGCATGTAAACTGACATACTAAGGAGTGTTTGTGACCGATTTCAAGTCTTCAGTAATACTTAGCGCTAAATTTACCAAATAAACACTGTCTTTGCTGTAAAGCAATTTTACTTCTGAGAATTGTTAACTGATTCCACAGAAGCACATTTCTGATTGTCTTGTTCTCTATTATTCCCATCAACTTAAGGAAAACATTAACAGACTTCAAGACCTCTTGTTTTAAGCTAAAAATAGCTCACCTTTCAAATTACAGTCCAGATTATTCACCATTTTTATATCTTCAAAAGGGAGCTACTAGCACATGGAACTATACCTGTCTATCAGTTTAATATAACTGAGTATATTAATAAAAAATGTTTTGGGTCACCAGTAAGCTTTCATATTTTCTGATGTTTTAAATAAATATTTACTATTCATTCTCATTTGAACCTGAAGTTATAAACTGCAACAGGTGCCACCTAACAGAACTTGGCACAAAGCTTGCCCACATCAGTCACAGGAGCTGATTAACTGTGTGACAGCACAGCACTGGAAGACACACATGGAGAAGCTCCTGCACAAATCCATTCTGCCTGCAGGAAATCAAGTTTGTTTTTCAAAACCTGAAATCTCTCATCACCTTTTTTGTCTTAAAAAAAAAAAAAAATATATCACTTGTATAACCAGGACTATACCCACCTCCTTCATAAGCTTTTATAGATTTTTTATGACAAATTGACCACTTATTTAAGTGGTATTAAACAGAAACGGTTGCTAGCTTTAGTTCTGTAGCTTGATATATGGTCAGCAGCCACACTTAAGTTAAAAAATTCAAATGGACAAGGCTCAAGATAAAAACAAGCATTTACTAATTTTTTTTTTTTTTTGCCTACTAAAAAAGTCAAAGTAGAATCTTTGGTAAACAGGATACAAGATATGTTAAGCTACTGGTAGCCTATAGCTTAAAAAAAAATAAATATGTGAAGTACTTTCCATGGCTCTATATTTAAGTGAACATGAGTTTGTTGCCACTGCTTCTGGTAATATCTCTAAAGATACCTTGACTGAAAAAAAAAAAAAAAATCAGCCAATTGTTTATTAAAAGAGTTAAGACGCTGTATTTATAAAGTGTATTTACATTATGAAACAATCTTCAGTTTCTGAGGCGTCTTTCTGTCTTGAATAACTTTAAAAACCTCCTGAACATTCAAAGCATGGGCATGGTCAAAGTTGGTCACTGACCCTAACAGACTCATCCATAAAATTTTATTTTCATAGCACAAAGCCAGTCTCTTTGACCATCAGCTGTTTTTTTGTGCCCCACACAAATCCTTTGGATTGAGATGCCGTCTTGTCTTAGGAACAGGCAGAAACAGACAAGTAGTCCCATGAATATGTGAATTAATTCCTTTTGGTTTGTGCCTCACAGCTGACTGACCACAGAAATCAGAAACAGGAAAGACAACACTAGGTTCACCTTCAGGTTTTCAGGCAGTTGGGGCATTTCTCCTTCTATCATTCTGTGAGAAACTATATTAAACACCTTCCATCTCACTCTGAAAACGCAACACCCTCACAACAGCACTTCCCAACGTCCTCGTCTGAGAGCCATGAGCCTTGTATTTCTATACAGAGTCTGGAGAGGAGAACAAAACTACTCAAATTAAAAGCCATAGCCTTGGAAGGTCTTTGTCTCACTAGAATCTTTTTGGTTTCATCACAGATAGGAAAATAAACAGGCCAGGGGAATGGGGCTGGCAACAAGAAAAACATCAGAGCAACACACACTGCAACTGAACTGCAGAGGAAAACAGTAGGGGGAAAGTATGGACAAAAAAAAAAAAATAGTGCTTTTACACTTGAAAAACATGACATGTTTGGAAAAAAATAGCTATGAAGTTCTATATATATTTGAAACCCAGCCAGCAGCAGTGATGCTCAGACTAATTTGGAGGCTAACCACAACACAGCAGCCTTAATTTCAGTATTTCTCCTTCCCCATAACCTACACACTGCAGCTCGTTCTCAAAATGGGATCAGTATCAGGCTCAAAGGATTATCTGCATATAACTTCAGAGGATAAAACTAAGGCTACAGTCCTGAAATGAGCTTCTCCTTGAAGTTCTGCTCAAATTCATGCAGTTTTAAAATAGCACAGCCTAACAAACACCCTCCCCCCTCCCACCGAATAATCAAATATCCCTCTTAGTCAGAACATTCAGATTAAACAAGCTTCTGTTTTCCACATATATATGAACTTTAAGGTTTCAGACAAAGAAGTTTATCTAAATACTGATATATTTGAGACTCTTCAATGAAAATTCCACTTTAAATTCAATTTTATTAAAACTACAAATACACAGTGAATATTGTAAAAGTGTACCCAAAAAAATTCGTATGTGCAACTTTGTCCACCACGACTGTAAAACTTTATTTCATAGCTTCAGTTTGGAAGAGCATCGTGTATCCTGGGACTCAGTTAAATCCAGATTGTGTTTTACGGAGAAGCTGACTGTTAAAACAAAAGAAAAAAAAAAAAAAAAAAACCAAAACCAACCCACTAAATGAAAAGGTAAAAAAAAAAAAAATCCAGAGTGGAAAACACCACATTTAAATGATCATTATTTTTTCTGTTAAGACAAGGAGTTACTGTCTAAAAAAAAAAAAAAAAAACCCGAAACCAAACAAGAAGCATGCACACCTCTCCACTGAAGGCAAATTCTTCTCTATCCAGGTTAAGCCTTTGTCGTTAGCTTTAACAGACAAATTACAACCTCCCCTTACAAATAGGGCTGTATAAATTGAGGAACTGCTGTAACTAAATGGCACAGAGAGATTTTTCTGAACTATCTTGCATTAAGAGGTACTGTGGTGCATAATGAAAGCTACATAAACAGACTGGACAGAGTATTTCTCTTGAATCACAGTTATCACAGACACAAGAAAACAACACTTCCTGTGTATAATGAGTTTCCAAACACCCTTTATCACGATACCTGTTCAGCTTGCTTTGCTTTGACCACATACTCCATAACCAAAACTTCCTTTCTTCACCCTATTCTCAAGATTCTTGTCCACTCTCTACCTAAGTAAGCTTAATGTGTTTACACTGCCTTTTGTCAGCTGAAGCTAGTTTGCAATAATCTCCACCAAATTTTGCTTCTAACTGACCAACTGTGGATGATGTCACCAAAATAAGAATCTTACTATATAAGTCCATGAAAAAATTGGCCCTGCCCTACATTTTACCCCACTAAAATGCCACTCAGCAATGGTCCTGTGATGCCCTAGCCCAAAAATAGCAATATCCTTGATCTAGAGATATGGAAGCTGGAAATATCCATGATGCTTCTGTAATATTCCAGCATGCTTCCTGGAAACAACTCCTTTTGCTAGCACATTTTGGGTAGCCCCAGCCAGTGGACATCCCACCCCTC